ACGTCACCGTAGAATTGTCCAGCAAAAAATCGGTAATCGCTTTTAGTGGTAACGTGTTCTAGAAGGCATAGCGTTATAGTGCCTTCGATTTTTTTTGTTTCTTTTAGGCATGGTCGGTAATGCAAAGTAGAATGTCCTACAATATTTTATTTATTTCGCTTCTTTATTTCATTTTGGGGAATGCAAAGTAGAATGTCCTATAATATTTGTTTCTTAATTCGCTGCTTTGCTTCATTTCAGGGAATGCAAAGTAGAATGTCCTCCAATATTTTATTTGTTTCGCTTCTTTGCTTCATTTCAGGGCATGCAAAGTAGAATGTCATACAGTATTTTTTTTATTTCGCTTCTTTGCTTCATTTCGGGGAATGCAAAGTAGAATGCTGCATCGTAGTCAGCTGAAAAATAGAATGAATATCCAAAAAATCTCTTTCTACCGTTTGTTTCTGTGGAAATTTGTCTCGCATAAAAATCTTATTTTGCTTTGTTCAATTTGCAGCGAAGTTGAAGTCAGTAAAGGAAGTGAAGTACAAGAGTGAGGAAGTACAATTTAAGCCTAATGAAATAGGCATGTACGTACATACCGACTTTTAAGTAAAATCTAAATACCCAAATACATCCATATGTTTGTATAAAAACTCATTTATAAAAATTTTAATTAATTTGATCTTTTACGACATTTTCTGATTTCAATTTAATATAAATAAGTATGTACTTATCTAGGCATTCTACATTAGCTTCTCTGTAAGGCATTCTTTGTTCGCTTCTCTGGATTCTGTTTATCCATGTGTTCTCCCTTCGTTTGAAGGTAATGCTGCGGGTAAGGGCTTACCGCCAATGACATGCCCATGTTCAAATAATGCCTTCCTGAAGCGAAAGGGTAAGCGATTCCCATCGCCTAGCTCGTTTCCACTTTCGATTCTGTGGTAATCGTGTTTTTTGCTGGGTGACAACTGAGAGCGGCAAATAAAACTGCTGTCTATTGATGTGCTGAATTGTCGGTACACAATACTTAAAAAAAGGTTTCGGTACCCAATACTTCCGTAGGGTTGCCAGATTTTTTATGCGCGAAATCAGTACGTTAGACTTTTTCATGCTAAAAAAATCAGTACTGTTCAGTACATTTTTTTCTCAAAGCAAAATTATGAATGTATGTAAGTATCAGATAATACTTTAAAACGCCAGAGTAGTAGTTTTTAACAATAATTTGATATACAAATAAAATATAGTTCATAAGAAAAGTGTTATTCATTTTAACATGGGTGTACACATCATTATACACAGTATTTTATATTTACGACATTTTTTGAATAGCAATAATGAGATCATTTCCATCTTGTTTAAATAGTCGAAGAATTCTATATTTTTCATTTTAAAAATACTTTTAATATGAAGTTCACTTTAAAAATTTTTAATTAGAAGCCGGTTTCTTTCTTTGCGCCAGGAAGAAAACTTTATACTTAAGATCATTTCAGTTACATATTTTTTCAAACTGTGGAAAAGTACCAATATTTAAGGACTTCATCTATAATTCCTCATGGCTTAAGTTAATTTTCTCAACAACACAAAAACTTTGAAAGACTAAGAATTCGCTAAAAAGATTATCTAACTCTATATCTTGTATGCAAAGCTCTTTTACAATGTAAGTAAATTGTGAAAAAAAATTGTAAGTTATAGGCAAAAGCCATTCGATTATTCAAATTTGTTGTTATCAAACTGAAAGTTATTTTCGAGATAACTAGCAACACCCGACACAAAAACGTCAGCCTTCTTTTTAAATAATTAAACCTCCAACATATCGAGGGCTTATATTCAATACCCTCTTATCTGCATTTTTCACAAAAATGAGATTCTAATATAAAAATCCACCCAAGACTTAACTGTCGGTGATGTTAATGCTGACCTTGTATTACGCTTGACAGAAGAATATACTTTTAAATTGCAAAGTCATAATTAACACCAGTGATGACAAATAAGGCCCAGATGGGTTCTAACATCACAAAGTTGTTTTTTTTGTGAAAATTGCAGATAGAGGCTATTGAATATAAGCCCTCGATATTAGGTTTGTTCCACAAGCTACTTGTAGAAAAACTCGAACAAAGTTCCAACTGTGAGAGTGTATCAAAGAAACTCTAAAACTTACTTGTGGAACGCGTATGTGTAACTGGAAGTTGCTTCGAGTAGCTTGTGGATCAAACCCATTATCGCAACTGGTACGTAACGACACGGCGATATGCCCATAACACGATTGACATTTTATTTTGTATTAACTTCTTGGGCATATCAAACATGTCAACTATGAATAAATTATCTTCTTACTTTTTACAGTACAGTCTAAGGAAGTTACAACGTTATGTAAAAACCTTAAGAAAATCCTAAAGTTTTTTGTTTGAATTGAAAATTCAGTACAAATCAGTACAAATTTTGAAAAATCAGGACATTAGCGTACTGATTGAAGAAATGAATAAAATCAGTACAAGAGTTGAAAAATCAGTACTGTACTGATAAAATCAGTACGTCTGGCAACCGTATACTTCCTTATCGGTACCCGATATCCGGGGGAGGGGGTGGATGATTCTGTAACCAGTTAGCGACAAGTTTCGGATCGATATCGCACTTGTTGACGAACAAATATTTCATATCATACGTCAACAAAACCGATACCGATTAGGGTTGCCAGACGTACTGCTTTTGGGAGTAAACGTACTCCTTTTCATTGTAATGTACTCCCTTGTACTCCAAAAAAAAAATATCTGGAAATGTACTCCTTTATTAGTTTTGTACTTCTTTTAAACCCCTTTTTCCAGCTATTAATATTTTATCATAAACAGGTTGTAAAATAATAACTGTCGCACAAGGTTTTTTGAAAAATAAAATGGTCCTTTATCTGTACAAAATTTTGCAATATATATTAAAATAATTCAACATGCAGGGAAAAGAGAACAGAAGACTATGCAAACAAAATGTTGTTTGCTCACGTTTAGTATAAACATACACGTTTAGTACATGCATACATACATATAGCACATGCATACATACATATAGCAGGAGTTAATTTCATTTAAAGAAATGGCTTGTCGTCCATTTCCGCTGTAGCGTATGTAAATAGTGCCTATATTTAGGCGCAATATTTAACTTCTTCTGGCGGGGCGACATGTAGAGTCTTCTAGTTGCATATGATGCCTACAACGAGGTTGATATCTAGACTAGGTTGATATCTAGAATTTGACATAAATAGCTTTGCTAAATTTATAGTATAAATGGTGGTCTGGACATACAAAATTGCAAGTTGAAAAAAGTGTTGTAAAATGGCCATACGTTCAGGAAGAGTCCGGAATTATGTTGTAGAGTTTAGTTATTTATTCTTGGTATTTATTTTTGCTTTGAAAAACATATCTAAGATATTTTTGTTTGTTGTACTAATTAATGGTAATTTGTAATAATAAATTGCAGAAAACAATAAAAAAAATTGTACTCCTTTTTTATGTGTTGTACTGCTTGTTTTCTATCGAAAATAGAAATGTACTCCTTTCTTCGTTTCAGAATCTGGCAACCCTAATACCGATTCGAAAATTGCCGCTAACTGGTTACTGAATCTGCCCCAAGCCTACAAAAATGATATCGTCCGAATCAGCTGGAACAAAAATGCTTCAAACAAGTAAGAGTTTCTCTGTATTATGGCCTCGAACCAACATATATACATCTTTCATTTGAATCAGTATTAAAAGCTCTATTGGCTGCTACATTCGGGTTTTGATAAGCGTTTTTTCCATATTTTTTACCTATGTGCGCTTTTATTCGAAACCTAAATGTTTCGGTACCGAGTATCAAGAGTATTGGATACTTAAAAGTATTGACTCAGCACATCAGGAAATCAGCTGATTATGTAAAATTCACTGAGAGCCGATTAGCGGTATTGCCATCGGCGCCACCTTCTGTATTCTCTCCACCGTGGTATTCTATCATTCTTGGTCATGACTAGTGTTGCCAGGTCTTCGGCAGGACAAAACGTTCCTCTTGGTCTGAAAAAAACGTAATTTCTTACCCAAAAACGTCTTATTCAAATGAATGTACAAAAAATTGTTCTTATTAAACCTTTATTGTTAACAAAGGTACAAAGTAAGGTATATTAAAATATCACAGAGCACATTTAAAATTCATTGGAAACTGGATTAGGATCGTTAATATAAAAATCATTTTATACATACACTTGTGATCAGCTGATTAACAGCCGTATTCTAACAAAGGTCACAAACATTAGCCCATCACTGCTGTGATTTCTACCGCGCCTCAAAGCTTGCCGCTACAATTCAATTTTTTAAATTTTTGTGTATTTTTCTAGCA